ATATCTTTAGTGTCCTAGGAACATTGTAACACAGTTTAGTAATATCATGGACGCTAATCACTTCATTAATAGCCAGTAACTACTTAAACACATTACGCCACTTGAGAAGATAAGAACTGTCTGAGAGAGAACGTCGAATCACTAGAGAACTAGCAAGCTACACGGTCCAATTTGTGCCTTAGTAACAGTTACAAACATTACATGTACATAGACCCTAAAATAACCTCCCCTACCCCATACAAAGCCGAAAACAAAGTCCCCTATAAATTAGAGAGCTGCAACCATTTATCCCTTCTAAACCACAAGTACGTTTCACCTCTGTAATACTCCAGCATTGCCCCAGCCATACCCGTAAAGACCTAGCGACTCAGCTTGACATAGATTGTTCTAGGAAGCGTGCTACATGCTATAATCGTCTGCAACAACGCCGGGCCACTGGTGTTCCTACACAAGACCTTAATAAGCTTCTAAACTTAAACCTTAGAACTCCTAGTCAGGACACGTGCCATAAATCCCTCCCTAAACTATAATTTTATACGTTTCGCCACCTCTGCGCTAAAGCCTACTATAATCTTAATTACACACAAAAAGGCCAGAATTCTAGCCAGCCTGGAGATCCGATGCGTAGATGAACATCATGCCTCACTAAAAGATACGGTCTCACTCTATGTAACACTAATGGTAATTATTACCGATAAGTAATCAATACGGAGAATTAATTATTCTTCCTGGTAATTTAATACAACCCTTCACTTTTGTTGATTACCGAAAGTTGGTTCCCTTTTAATGTTCCTGACTCACACCTGATAGACACGGACGAACTCTTTCGCTTTGAAAGAGGCTGTCAAAAGTGTGATTGTCTCATCTATATATCTGTAGAAATCAAATTAGGAACTTTCAGTGAGACTGTCCTTAATAAAATGTCTTATTCGATATGGCTTACTATATACACCCACGAGTGTAAAATACAGATTGGATGTATATATGGAGCTCCAGACACTCATCGGTCGATGGACAGTGCAACAGTGAGTTGTTATTCACTGATGTTTCCCTTGAATTCGATTGCGAAGTTAACTGTGGTCACTCCAACCTCTATAGAATCAACTGGCAGACACACTCAGGTCCACTAAGCTTCGAAGTGCAACAAATACTAAATGGTAAAGCGTTTCCAAACCAGACTGTGAACATTCTGACTGGGAAATCTTCCAATATCTAATTCTGCACTCCAACTAGTCTTGAACTCTCTGGGACATTACCTGTATTCGAAATCACAGTTAAATCAGCATTAGACACTATTATCCTCTGCAAAACGTCTTTCCAAAAAATGACTTTATATCAACCAAAAGACCAGGGTTAGGCTGCGTAAACTAAAACGGGCATACTGCATACCAGAGGACTTCAGCATCCTGCGCCAAATCTACTCTGTGCTTGAGGGCATTAAAAATTAGCAAATCATGTGCGCAAATAAATGGAGGAATATAATGCACTCGCCACAGCATGTAAAACCCCAAACTTCTGTCGTCTGGTTGAAAAGGGCATAAAAAAGAAAGCAGAATATAACATACATTCTATATTGCATGATGAAGATGCATATTACAACCGAACTGTTTTAGTATATGGCTCTCCTTCAATAGGAACACATCTCAATACCTTCAACTTTTACCTTAGTAATATTCACGACTCTACTGATCTATCCTGACTGAAATACCTGTTCCTTTAGATACTAATATGCCGGGCAGGTAGTAACGACCAAATTACCAATATTTGGCCTGAACGTAAGGCCAACGAACCAAGGTTTCTCCTATTTGACCAAATTACGTTCTTCTATACAGCGAACGAAGCGTTCTGAGAGCTCAGTTTAGACATTTCTGATTTAAGAAAGTAAACAAACTGTATCGAAACTACAAAATATTTGAAACCGTACAACCTGTACTATTTAGTTAATGGTTTCTCTCGCACAAAACAGAACAATATATAACTAACGGAATGTTTGACAAACGCGTGTTCGCTACCCACGGATCATCAAGCGTTTTCCTAACAAGGTGCGGTCAAATATCTGCCTAGAAGGATTCCAGCCATCATTTTCAGCAGGCTGTCAAAGGTCAACCATTATTGAAAGTATCATGCCATAACCTTGAGTTTAGTCAAACATTATCTAATTTTTAATATGCTTATACATATTTATTTAATTTAATTTTTCGACAGTCATCATCGTGTTAACTTTATCGGCATATATTTTGACTTTAATTTTTATTCTCCCATTTTTATTTTCCATGGGGACTGAAACGGAATAGAATGTAGAGGCAAACACGAATAATTAATTTGTTGGTTGTGCATGATTTATACATTATTATCATTACGCACTTCATGGCTCATTAGCGTAGTGAGAGACACCCAGACGCTGTCAGACCAAGAAAGCTATGAGAAGTGTGTTTGCCAGCTTCATACATGTTGGGTCAAAGCTTCTGCCTAGTCACATCTTAGATTCATCATTGCCTCGCAAGCAGAAGATTGCTCTGTACAGGTAAATAAATCTCCAGAATAAATACTTATATAAGTCTTCGACATTAATTCCGGACACATCGTAGCTGAAGGTGCATCTGCACTAGATAACTAATGGGTACGCCATGTAATGCTTCACCTCGCGTCAACCGGCATTTTTATTTCATTCAATCTGACATTCCAACCTCCGATCCCCTTCACATCTGATTCCTGGTTTGACTTGATTATGGACATCCTCGATCTGCTAGGCTTTACGGACAGAATCGTCGTTCAACTTTGAATATCCATAACATCTTCATAGCTGTCGGGTGTCGATATATTGTGTGTAAATTATCAAATGGTAAGAGAACCGAAATTATTGGGCTAGATCAGTATGTACCGCAGATCTGTACTATACTACTGTATTCTGTAGTCAACGTATTCCTGACATTAACTATCAGCAACCAGAAGTAACCAATCTTCAGTCTATGAATCATATATAGACCAGTGCTGAAGTTTAGAATAACTCAATGAGCACAGATATGCGTATTTAATCTGGACTTTGAACCCAGCGCGGAATAATGTACAAAGAACTCATTGTTGCATAAAATCCGAGACACTGTGGTGGTTGAAAATATGCATTGGAAAGGAGGCTCGTTGTAATGGCTCGTGCTGAGTACATATGATATTGAATGAAACTGCTACAATCATTTTTATAAGCCATAGCTTAAATGACCGTTGGGCTTTTCATAAGTTCATCAGATGGATTTCAAATACTCTCTTGAAATTAAGCTTCGTTTTGTCTGGAAAAATTTAACTGAGTAAACTGTGAGGAACACACCTGGGTTATTGTAATGCGTTTGATTGATGTGGCTGGGACGTGTGAGAACTGTGGACTTATCAACATTCTTTGATAGACCTCTGGTGAGTTGCTGAAGATCAGCACCTTAATAAGACTTAACGCTAACAGACCGTAACAGTTCGATGTCAGAACAGACAAATTTTCATTTGGTTCATTTCGTTAATATTTCTATCATTATTTTTGTTTCTCTGTACACCATCTGGGGCAGAAACTTGGGGAATGATGAAAGTCATTGTCCTGAAGATTCGAGTGTTGATTAACAGCTGTCTACGCGAAATACTTTAGAGTCACTAGCCGGAAACCATCAGCAACTGTGGGAGAACATAAACCAGATTCCGGTGGATGAAGAAATTAGGAGGAAGGGCTGGAAATGGATATGGCACTCATAGTGAAAAGCACCTAAATGAGTTACAAGGCTAGCTCTCACCTGGAATCCTCAAGGCCAACGGAAAAGAGGAAGGCCATGAGACACATTATGCCAGAAAATGGAAACAGACATGTAAATAGTGAACGAAAATAGGACAGAACTAAAAAGAGAGGCTGCGGACAGAGAAGGTTGGAGAACGCTGATCTGCTGGCTATCAGGAGTATATAAGAACTGACCAACAACATTTAAGGATAGAAAGTCTATGGTCAGGCAAAAACCATGGTCATTAGTGCTCACTACTTCACAGAGTATCCTTATCCAGCGTATAAATCACTACGTGGAGTCTGAAAAGCCAAATTTCATCCAGACAACTATTTTTCTTTTTTTCAAGACGTCTTCAACACTGGCATTTTGAAAAGAAAAAACAAGACATTAGCTTCAAAAGATTTTATATTTTATTATATATACACATGTATATCAAACATCAGCTGCAATGGTATTGACTCGTTAACAGCTATAGCCACCATATTGGCCTCATTCTGAACTTCACCTTCCCTAACTTATTCTCATGATCAGATTAAATCCGTAAGAAATTTCGAGGGAGTTATGTTTATTCAATCCTTAGAATAAACAAGGATTATATTGCTGCAGGTTGTAGCTACAAGCTCAAGCAGTGGTTATTTTATAATCAACCGCATACCACTTAGTATCCAGTTGGTTCAGAGTATGCAAAAACTCTGTCCCCAAAATTTTACTGTTCTGGAATCCTAAAATAACCAAGTACTGCCAATCCCTAATTGATTTACTAATAATTATAAGATATTAGTCAAAACAGACGTACTATGCATATCATGTGAACTGTCCAGAAACACTCATCTAGTGAGGAGGCAATATTTTTAAATCAGTATTACTCAAGATCATGAAAGTAAATTAAATTCACTTGTTTGCGGACACTAAAAACGACAAGCTCCTACACTTACTGGCACCAGATTCCACATGATATTCATCAGGAAACTATCTTCCTGGTAGTACTGTCATTCTACAGTTTAATTAAAGCAGGCAGCAGTGTAATATTGCGTCGAGTCATGGAAAGCCTTGTCATAAACTGTCTCGTATCATGCAGTATCAAAAAAAGGTAGCAAGAGAAAGTCTCAGTTAAAGTCCAACAGTTATTTTCCAGGCAAATAAATAGTCGATAAGCTGAAAACTATCCTAGTGTACATGTAAACAATAAACTTCGAGTGGCTCAGATATTGTATGTCCACCTTGAAATACACTTCACAAGGTCGTCGGGAAACCAGAAGTTTTAAAGGTGTGTGACCCGTTCATTCTGGGTTTTGTCGAAAGCCAGTCAGTTTGTCCCAGTTAAAAATACTTTAATTGCAACCTGTTCGTCCTGTTTTGTTCCCCTTAAGGTTTAGTTATTTCTAACGCTCTATAAAATTCTGCTGCTACGTTTTTGTGCTTCCCAATTAAACAAGAGTTGGGAAATGAAGAAGAACTTTGGGGCAAATATAGGTAAAATAGGCCATTAAAACTCGGTGTAAATTCAGGCAAACTTCACCTCTTTCACCTATATTAGGGAAATAATGGGATGTTTAGTCAAAACTAGTCACTTGAAACGGAAGGTCCATAAGTTCACACTCATGATATATATAAATATAAATAAATAAATAAATATAGGTGAAATAGGCCATTAAAACTCGGTGTAAATTCAGGCAAACTTCACCTCTTTCACCTATATTAGGGAAATAGTGGGATGTTTAGTCAAAACTAGTCACTTGAAACGGAAGGTCCATAAGTTCACACTCATGATATATGTAAATATAAATAAATAAATAAATATAGGTGAAATAGGCCATTAAAACTCGGTGTAAATTCAGGCAAACTTCACCTCTCACCTATATTAGGGAAATAATGGGATGTTTCGTCAAAACTACTCACTTGAAACGGAAGGTCCATAAGTTCGCACTCTTATGAATTCATACCAAATTATCTATCTTTCGCCGAAGTTTTCTTGTTCCCCTCGTATCATGGGACTCTGCCTTTATTTTCTAGCGAAAACAGTGGGAATGATGGTTGTTACAAATTATAAAATCAACTATAATCATTAGTACCCAACAGAATAAACAAAACTAAAAGTTACAGTGACATCAGCTGACCTTAGGTCCCTTAAAAGGAAAAAAAAACGTACCAGTTCATGATTGTTCTCAACACAGCAAACGAGATGCATGACGAAGGCGTACGTTAGGAAAAATATTTAAAAAGTGAATTATAAGTAATATAGTTAGCGCTTCATCGAACAATCCTCATCGTTGAGTGTATTCTGAAATCATCATGATTGATTACTCTCAGTGATAGGTTGTTCACTTTCTCCATCTCCCATCCAACTTTATCATTGACATGCTTCTAGCGATGAAACTTTCATCGTTTGGCTTTCCAGGGCTTGAACTTCCATGTTAAAGGCGAAATATACGTCTACTAATCAAAGTACAAGTCTACAGCGAAGCAGTTCACTCCGTCCTACTTTATAAGTTGGAAACATAGACAGTAAGAGTAGAGGATATCAGTAGGTTACTAGTCTTCAAATATTCTGCGACAATCGAGTAAACAATGATGATGTTAGGAAACGGGTACTCAGCCAGTTAGTCAGTTACAACGTAGAACTTCATACGTACGTACATTAGTCCAAGTTGCCACACCACATTAGCGTATAGAAATGTGATTGTCAATTCAAAACCCCATAGTAGTAGAGTTAATAGAAGTATTTGCAGTAATTAGAGAGATTACAGTTCGAAGATAATATTCGAGAAGTACAATCCAGTGAAACACACTTAGAAAGACAACGGTGATGAAGGATCCAAAGGATTAGGATTTGAGCAAAGAGAAAAAATGAATGCACATGCGCCATTGCAAGCGGTTTTGAGCCATGTCATTTAAAGTCTCTAACCATCGGTTGCTATCATCTCGCGGACCCCAACCAGGTAGTCAGTCTACACTTACCAATATGACTCAGTCCAGTTGTCAGTGACTTTATGGATTTGTGCCATGTTTTGTTTTGGCCGCCCCTAGCTTTCTCCCAACTTATTCCTACACCGGGCACTCAGTAAAGTTGGCAAGTCAATAAATGAAGTAGGGAGTCTTTACCAATTAAGGAAGTAGAGATGTGTTATTTATGCCCGGCAAACCACTGAATACCTTGGCGAACGGTGATTTGTGATGTGGGGTGAGCTGGGATAAAACTAGAGGTGGCCAGACCAAAACATGGCAGAAATCCATGAGGTCAATGACAGTTGGGCTGAACCATGTTGTTTCACTGGTTTATACTTCTGAAATCATATCTTCGATCCCTAATCTTACTAGTAATACTGCTACTACCTCTACTATGGGATTTGAACTAACAAACTCATGCCTCTGTGTTGATGTGGTATTATAACTTGAACTAATGTATTTGCGTGCCAGGTTCTACGTTGTGACTAACTGACTGAATAACGATGATGTTAGTTTATAAAATGAACTAAAACTCGGTCATATTGCACAATATGTCCCATTGTGTCTGTGAAAGAGGAAGAGAACTATTATCCTTTCTCCCTAAGTAACGTTTGTTTAATTTATCTATCATACCATGTATAAAACCCTTTGTTGTGATGTTCAAAAGCCTTATAAGGTGTTTTTCGGTCGGGGACGCAAATTTCGATGTTGAGGCATCTGGAAAACAATTATTAGAACAACGCATCATTACTTCTTTATTCCAATAGAATCGAAGTTTGTTAAGGTTCCTTTTATTCTCTGTCCCCAGTGAAGTGAAGTTAATCGACATTTCTGAACTGAAGATGTGTCAGAATATATCTAAGAGATAACACCGGTTTGTCGTCCACTAGTTTGTTCACCTCGAAAACTAAATATCATTTCGTTTCTTGTTGTTTTAGCACACGCAATTTAGTGTTTTGTAACTTTGCATCCTAAAACTGTCGTGACAAGGCAGCGTCAGGAATAACCATTGCGTTAATTTCAGGTGGAGTATAGAGTGCACTGTGTAAATGCAACTAGATGTGCACTTGGATAACTATTGCTTTAAAAACCCGGTATTGGTCTGAAAGAGGCCATGGTGATACTAATTCACTAATGCTTTTTGATAACAAGTTCCATAAGATAGCTTTGTATAACACAGAAAACTGTCTGGGCATAGCTGAAGTATGGCATGTTCAAAATTCTACTATATCCTGGTCTCGACTCTCAGGCGGTCCTTCTCGCTCGCGTCACTGCTAACCCTTTTCGGTTGCTTTCATTGTTAACCTTTAACGCATCGTATATGCCTACTAAATTGTCTTTCTTTTGCTCTTCCCTCTCCTAGATTTTCAAAAACAAGCTTCCTTATACTGAATTTAAGACGTACCTCCAGGTTAGTTACTAACCTACCAACAGCCGAATATCACAATGTCAAGTCCTCATGAAAAGTTCTTCTATGATGTCTATAGTGTTCTAAGTCAGTGGGAGTTTATAATTCTTCGCATCCAGACAATACTTCTGTGGGAGCGTATAGTCCCAAGTTTTGTTTTCACAGCATTTGTACACCTTGTGTTCTTGTGAGTTTCGAATTACCAGTCGTTATTTATAGATCATTTGTAAATAGCAACTTCAGTACACTGTTTATTTTCTGTCTGGCGTTGTTTCTTGTACTATTATGCAACCTCTTACAACCTCTAATGGCAAAGCTTTTTGATGGTACGTGATTACAAAGTTTATGTATGTCACGCATTTAATTTTCTTGGACTATATATAGCATTCAGAAATTATTCACGTTTGTTACTGACTTGATTTCTCAATGTAAATGAGGAGGTAGTAGAGTTCGGTAACATAATTCATATTTTGCCAAAAATCCGTTATTCTGCTGATGTTGTTTTTCGTGTTAAATGTAGTAAATCAATCTCTTTTTATCAGTAAAAAATGACATGGATTTTATTAGAAAACTTTGTAAATTAGTGCATAGTGTTTGGCATCAAAAGTTTCGTTTGATTAGCCATAGGCTGCTAAGATTACTACTACGTTTTTTATGCTTACAAGCAATTATTCGTCTACTTAAATTGATATATATTACTAAAAAGTTTCATTTTATCTATCTAAATGACTGTGAACTGTTACTTTCTTCATCGTACTTAATTGTTTGGAGATTTATTGTTAGTGCTTTGCATATAAGCTGTAAAATTTTGTTTCTGCTATCATAAGTTAAACCGACTTTCGTGTGACAAACTCTGACGCCATATCCGGTGAGATTGGATGATACTAGATTGTTCACTGGTCCATTTGAAGATTTTTAAATGAACAGATGAATTCTACATTTCCTATTCACGCCAAAGTTTGACTATAATATTTTATAAAAAGAGATGTGACCATCAGCATTTTTACCAGGCAACTATTTATTGAAAGCATTTGACAAAATTCTACAAGAGTGAATTAATTTATATTTCCACGCTTTTTCATGCCACAAAAAGAAAACAAGTAAAAGTGGGATGATAGATAAACATGAGTGATATAATTTTAAAAATAAATGCTTGATAAAATGTTCAAAATTCGAAAAACCAAGTAGTTGCATCTATGTCATTGTATTCGTTTACAACCCCTGTGATCTGTAGTCAACAATCTCTGTCATCTTGAGAAACCTGGCAAACCCGTTTAACTTGCTTCATTAAGGTATGTACTTAGACATGCATGGCCTAATCTCCAAGACAAGCATACGGCTATTGGCAGGATCAACAAGTTTACTCACATTTCTATAAATTAACCCTCAATTGGCAAGGGTAATTTTACACTGGTTTTCAGGAGAACCTAGGAGACTGCCCACGTGTTAGCATTTCAACGTGAACAGTTCGGTTCAATTCCTTGGTGCAACCACACAGGTACCTGACACCATGGTGGATCATTCACACCATTTATATACACTAGTACATATATAGTGATTATTTCCGATTCACGATCGCGTCAATCAATATGTACCGCATGAACAGGCCAGTTCAACGCATCCCGCTTACATGACTGTCAAACTCATTATTATTAGCAATAGTGATATGCAATACAGCACCCCAATGACAATGGCCCTCGGGAATGTTGCAAAACAACCACCAGTATCGATGAAATCGGTCACCCTGCTAACCGAATTTGTATATGGACTGTTAGCAATACTTGTCAAAGCAATGCCAAGCCATCGACAATGATAACAGCGAACCTCTGGTCTCATAGGGAATCTTCAGCTCTATATAGCAAGCAGTATAGTATATGGTGTACACATAGTATGACATAGGATAGAAAGAGATGCAGCCCAGTTTGATGCAAACGGGCTCAAACATTCTTATTACATTTTGTCTCATATCGGGTAATGATTTTTTCGCAATACCGAAATTTTCATTTTTCAACCATATGATGAGACCTGAGTTAGGGATAGTATCCTTATCTTGTTACATACATAACTTATATTAACAACTAGTATTTTCGTATGCTAGTTCCATGCCTTTTTTAACGGCTTTTATCTTTGCCTTGGTTTAATCCTATTCTAATTAGAATTGTATATGAGAGTAAACTGTCGTACATTAGTACACATCACAAGTAGCTTGTCACAGTTTCACTGTCCAAACAGGACTCAAGGCACCAGTAGTTTGTTTAGGATAGTGAGTTTATATGTATTTCGATCTAAGAAGACTATTTTCCAATTCACCATTTGCAAACAACAATTAAACTAATGAAAGAAATTCCTAATTCTTGTCTTAGATTCTAAGCCTTCACCTGGTTCATTCTCAGAACTTGTTACCGTTTGTCTGGAAAATGGAAGCATCATGTCTGCTATTGATCTTAGCCATTGGATATCTAGCTGTCTTTATGGTCTACTTAATATTGCAAATAAACTTGCCCCGTGTCATCGAAATCATCCTTTCTCGGTGAGCATTGTTAGCTTTCACTTTTTTTTTCTGGTGTCGATTAAAATTTACGGTAGCTTACACATATTTACGTAATCATTAGCAGCAGATTTTGAAGTTAGAAGTTAGAATTAGAATTACTGCAAAAAATGTGGAATAGTGTTTAGCATTTTGTGATACTACTTTGGGGTTATATCATTGAATTACAATTTAGATCTATACAATATCTCCAATGAATAGCTTTCTTCCAACTTAATCCTACACCACAAAACATAGCTCGTCGAGGCAGTCGGTGGTTAGGCATACGCAACACATGTCCCAACGACCTCAACTGATGAAGTTTCACCACTTCATCCTTACCTAGCACCCGTTTCCTAACGACAGCATTGCTCACTCGGTTGTCCCACGGTATGCGAGCAATGCTTCTTAAACATCTATGATCGAATACTACTAACCTACAAAAGTCCTCTACTCTTAACGGCTATGATTCACAGCCATATAGGACGGAGCGAACTGCCACATGGTACACTCGTCCTTTGGTTAGCGAACGGATATCACGTCTACGCCATAAGTGACGCAGGTTGGCGAAAGCCAATCGAGCCTTCTGTATCCGCGCTGAGATTTCGTCAGTCACCAGGCCATCAGTACTGATGAGACTCCCTAGATAAGTGAAGTGATCAACACGCTCGACTACTTCACTCCCTATCACTACTAGTTCAGGCGCCGATGCAAGCCAGTCTTGAAGCAGCAACATTTTGCATTTTGAGGGGAAAACCGCATCCCGAACATGCTTGCATTGTTGCTTATGGTAGTCAGAAGACCCTGCATTTTGTCAGTACTCAGATTAGATGTACATTTTTATATTGTTGATAACATCTTAATGTTGTTTTTTACACATCTATTATCTGTTATATTAATTAATGTGATTCGATTAGTTCTAATGATGTATTTTTTTTACTTTCTTGATAATATTTATTTAGTTTTTCATTATTTCAAGTACTGCCAGCATTGGATGTATCATACTTAGCCTGTATGTTTCTGGCGTCACTTTAGCTTATATAACTCTCAATATTTGTCTAATTCTACCAACTCTAATCCATCATCGTGTAATTTCTCGTGCCTGGAATGCAATCAAACCTATTTTAGCGCGTATTGAAGCGGAATTCGATAAAAACCCTCTGGAATCCCCGGAAGAACGTGATGCTGGTGAACGAGAAATCTATGAGCCAATTGTTGCTGCTGCAAATGCTGCAAGTTCTTCTGTATGCCCTAGTGGATTTCCAACAGATCTACCCATAAAACAAGAATCTGACGAAGTAGAATCAGATGAATTAGATAATTCTGAAGCGGTGTTTATCAAACAATTTGGTAGGTTGTAAATCTTTTGCAATTTAGAAGTAGATTTAGCTAGCGTCTCCTAATCTATGTAGATAATGTAATGCTTTTTAGGCTTCTATTCAATGTATTTTTGATTCAATTCATTGCTGAGTGTTATTTTTTACAACTTATCAATGGTAAAAATACAAAACTATTCAGAATAATGTATCCTCAGTCACAAGTTAAAAGTTTGACAAAGTAAACACGTCCTGATTGACTTAATAATGGTCTGTAAGCTTACACCTATTTTGAAATCGTGAATTATACTAGCCAATTAACGTGAGTGCTAAATGTGTCAGCTGAATATGAATTTCTAGTAAAATAGTTAGAAGGAGAAGACAATTTCTCTCAGGTGAAACGCCAGATAATTCTCAAAACCTGATGTACTAAATTCTAAACAAACAATTTATACCGACAAATCCTTTTTCGGTGTCAAACCAGACATCCAAAAAAGGTTTGGTATTACTAAACTGGTTTCCTTGATAAGGTGGAACAGTTGTCGACTGTTACCCATCGCCGCCGCTTTTTCCATCTCTCTTGCTTTCGCTATCCACCACTGTTCATGATCATTGGGTAGGTTTTTTTTATCAGCCTGCACTTAAACTGACTTCGCTCTTCGTCATGGTCAGAGCCAGACGGAATGAGTTTCCGAGCATCCATCAGTTCAGTGGATACTACTGAGATCTACAACTTCTTCCTAGCCTTATAGTTTACCTTACTAGCAGATCTCATTACTGTTTCCACAGCTTTTTGGATATCATTCCAAGCTGTCTCGGGGTGGGCATCACTTACGTAGTATTACTAAACAATTATTGGACAATTATTTAACTCTTCAAAAGTGATTAGAAATGTATTAGTTGTAATTAATTTCTAACTGAAGGTGTAGTTGTTAGATGTGTAGCGTTTTTAATAGATATATTACCTTTGATAATACTATATCCTCAGTATTCTTAATTCATTTGTGCAAAGCATAGGTCGTTATCAAAGTGAGGCGATGGTTTAGTTATTGAAAGCACTGACACGGCCAAAAGTGGGGAGAATTCGCTCTCTCTCCCTCCTCTCATATGGCTATGTTTATATAGTCATTGATTTCCCGTCACCCGGTTGTTTGCGAAATCAAGAGAGTAAAAAGTGAATATCCGGCGCTTTAAGTAGGTTGGTGGGTATGGAGGAGTCATCTGGTAGAGTTGGAAAACGCTGATTCCAAACCAATGATGCACATAAGCTCCAGGATCCTGAAGTAACGAATAGTGTATGAACCTATTGTTGGTCACCAGCTACCGTGGAACTGCATCTCCTTACGTTACTTCACTGCCTTGTGGATTATACCTCTAGGTCAACGGCTCGTGGTATGACCTTCTAAGCAAGCCACGTGAATCAGTTTGTACGTCTGGGCAGTAGTAGTATCCCATCCAACTCACAAATTAAATAATTTGTATGGCTCATCAATGTTTAGATGCCCATTTGTATCAATGTTTATGTGTTAAAATAAGAGAAATCAAGTTATTAAAACACTAAGAAAAATTTGTATTCGGTAAATGAATAACCTATAACATACTTTTTTTCGAAAATATAAAGTTTGATTTTTTTCTGTTCTCCTAACTTCACTGTATATTATTACTTTTACTACTATTTTCTCTGTGTATTTTCTTAAGTTTCTGATATTAGTTCTGAAGAGCTGGATCGTTTGTTCTCTGAAGCCCTTGGTGAAAATGAATATACAAGACGAAGCACTACCAGCAGACGTAGAACATACGTCAATACTACTACTACTAATAATAATAATAATAATGATAATACTAATAATAACAAAAATAATAATTATATCATTGATTCCTCAGACTCGAATGATTCCGACTATCCGTATATGTTGAAACAAGAAATCAAAGAAGAATCTCGTTCATCAATTGTATGGGCAATGGAAAGTGAATATGCCACAGATGATGATGAAAGCAATGATATCATGGGTGAGGTAATTTCACATTAGATAGATAATCTTTAAAAAAGATTATTTGTGAAAGTGTTTTTAACTAGTAATTATATATATATATATATATATATATATATATATATATATATATATATATATATATATATATATATATATATGCATCGTTGATCTTCGTTCCGTTTACCGAATAAGTTGAACGCAGGTGGTTGGGACATGTGTTGCGTATGCCTAACCACCGACTGCCTCGACGAGCTTTGTTTTGTAGTGTAGGAGTAAGTTGGAAGAAAGTTAGGGGCGGCCAAACTAAAACAGGGCACAAATCCATGAAGTCATTGACAAGTGGACTGAGTCGTGTCGGTAGTTGTCGACTACCTGGTTGGGGTCCGCGAGATGATAATAATCGATGGTTAGAGACCCTGAATGACATGGCTTAAAACCGTTTGCAATGGCGCCGGCGCATTTATTCTTTGTGTTCTCTCCAATCCTAATCTTCTGGATTCTTCAACACCTCTAGTTTTGTCTTTCTAAACTTTTCTCACTGAATCATACTTCTTGAATAATATCTTCTAATCCTAACCTCTTCGATTACTTCTAATACCTTTACTACCTCTACTACTATTGGATTTGAATTGACAATGACATCTGTGTGTTAATGTGGTATGGCAACATGAACTGATGTACTTACGTACGAAGTTCTACGTTGCATCTGACTGACTGACTGACCGAAGACAAATAGGCGAGATCGCGCAAAATTCTTAAATTAATCAAAGTTAGACATTAACACCGTTAGATGCAGGTTCAGCGGTCTAGAGGTTAGGCGTTCGCGCGCATAACTGAAGGTCTTGGGTTTGGATCCTGCGAGTAGCAGTAGTCGTGGATGTGCGCTGCTAATGAGTCCCATACCAGCACGAAACGACCTTCCAATGTTTCCAGGTTTCTACTGGTGGTTCAACAGTGACTGATTCCTGATTTCAGTAACAGTTAGTTAAAATATGCTTCACAAGTTTCAAATAGGCCAGAATTTCTTCACTGGATTCTACTGATAGTTGCATTTCATCTGTTCTATGTTTTCGATATAACCGCACAGTGAAAGTATTTTTGTTTGCTACAATACACTACTATAGTACGATAGTACTGTCGGGCAAAAAATTATGCTACCACTAGACTAGATACTCGATCGATACGTGTTATACATAGATCGGGATCACAGGCTAGATTGATTTCAATACTAAATATGGATCACCAAATCATATGGTAGACAATAATATTTCACTGAACACAAATACAAGCAGTTCGCACTCAATGTAAAACTATGTGTAGCTAATGTTTTCGTCAGGCATCAGTTAACTTTTCTCGACAGACCTATACTTACGCCTGTTACACCCAATGTGAGCATAGGCCACCGACCAGCATTCTCCAACCTACTCTGTCCTGGACCTTCCTTTCTAGATCTGTCCAGTTGTTGCTCATTCTTATCATGTCTGTCTCCACTTGTCGGCGTAATGTGTTCCTTGACCTTGAATCTGAGGGTTCCAAGTGAGTGCTTTACTCAATTTGTGTCCTGTCCACCTCCAATGCTTCTTCCCGATTTCTCCCTCGACTGGAATCTGGTTTGTTCTCTCCCACAGTAGGTTGTTGCTGATGGTGTTCTGGTCAGCGAATCTGAAGTATTTTACGTAAGACAAGTGTTAATGAACACTTTATGAAACTTATAAAAAGAAAATGGTTACGCCAGGATATGTCATTTATATTTTATTTCGTTAAATGCTCATGAGAGTCTGTTTATTTATTTCAAAAAAATTTAACAATCTAAACAAACATATTTGTGTCAGGTAACACTATTAATGAGTAACTATTTGACTTCTAATGCTCCACACCCCCTTTGAATCACCAGCTGATTCCTAGGAGTCAGGCTTATTTTAATATAAAGCAATGGTTACACTTGAGTAGTCAGTTGGGTTCGTTCACAGTAAGATTGCATATTATTATCAACTCACAAACATCGTACATCACATCAGTTTCGATTTAATTATTTTAACATGATTATCGATACACATTTACAAACAAACAATGACTGTTTAAGGTTGTTAGTATAGAGTTGGATGGTGACGAGCACTGGAATACAGGACACGTGTTTGGTCCTATTTGGCAATCGTCAACTGGATGTACCTGCATCTCAGAGTTGATGTTTCATTCGGGACTCGAACTCAGTGCACACAAGATGCCTAATGAGACTGATCATTTGCAGTCCTAACGCATCGATGGAAAACTTCAAACAACTAATACGAATGAATTCAGAACCCATCAGATCACTCACTGAATATGACGTGTTGGTATTCGAAGCGTTAGGTACTGTGTTCGAGTCCCGGAGTGAAGAACATCACCTCTGAGATGCATGAACATGTAGCTAACGAGTACCGAATAGAATGAGACGCGCTTCCTGTATTCCAATGCTATCCACTACCACCCACCTCTACTAATAATATTGTTTATAACCTGAAGACAATATCGAAGGCAATCTCCCCACTGGATGCAAATATACAAAAGAGATTGATCAATCCTCGGTTGTTGTAAACATCAATGGAAAGATTCAGTGCAAACAACGCAACCATAAATGAATTGATTAAGAATCCGCTCAAAATGTTTTTTTTTTTTAAAAAAAACAGCTATGAAGTTCAACTCTCACGTGTTTTAAAAGATCATATCCTACATTTTCCTTTTTTTTTTCTTCAATCTATTTCAGGTTTATCCAGTTCCGATAACAATGACTAAAGATGTTGAACATGAAGGATTTGTATTTGTAAGAAAACAAGAATAAAAACAAACAAACAAACATGTCGGTGTGTTTCCCCTAATATTTTTCTATTACTACCTACTCTACCTTCCAGTGATAAATAAAAACACCGCCACGACCACCAACCGCCACTACCGCCGCCGCTCTTCCTTCTCAAGATATATAACTATACGCTTGCACAAGTATGATTTTAGCTGTATTCTACTATATAGCTCTTTACTTTATACAATGACACACATGCATTTAGATTGAAACATGGAAATGTTTTTCTCCCTCTCTCTTTTTTTTATTTAATTTTTATTTTTAAAAAAAATACCAAACAAGTATTTCTGTATTATTATTATTATTTTACTTTCTTTCAACGAAATGTATGTATTATTTATCGATTGAGTGTGTGATGTAAAGAAAAAAATTAATTAGTTTAGATTTGTCAGTAGGATTTCTTTTTTGAGGGGGGGGCACAGTTTTGGAGGTTTGCGTTTTTACACATTTGAAATGATCAGTCAATCATTGTTAGACCACCATTAGAAACCTGGAAGCACTGAAACACGGCCGTTTCGTCTGGGTATGTGACTCTTCAGCAGTGCGCATCCGCGACTCCTGCCCCTCGCAGGATTCGAACCCGGGGCCTTTGGCATTGTAGGCGTACGCCTTACCATCGGACCACTGGGCCGGCATCCAACGGTGTTAATGTCTAACTGTGATTGATCTAGGGATTTTGCGCGACCTCACCCATTTGTCTTTGGTAGTTACTGCCTACACCCGACAGGGTTGAACTCCACTGGTCACGTCTTCTCAACTAGAACTCCGAGAATTTCCTCACGAAGCTAGTCACTAGTGAGCACTGTTACGATATTTTGGGGCACAGTTTTGGAGGTTTGCGTTTTTACACATTTGAAATCATACTAGGACGAAACGGCCATCCAGTACTTCCAGGTTTCTAATAGTGGTCTAACAATGATTGATTGATGATTTCAAATGTGTAATAGGATTTCTTTTTTTTTTATCTTCTTCTCTAATTGTGTGACGTCAACCTTTGAGTACCATGGATCAAGTGATGATTACTAATTGTAATCGAACAAAAACCCATGTGTGTGTTTAGAGATTATGATATGTCAGTCAGCTACAACGTAGAATTTGGTGCGCACGCACGTACGTACATACCATACTACATTAGCATACACAGAGAGATGGAATTGTCAATTCAAATCTCATAGTGCTAGTTGTATTAGAGGCAATGGAGAAGATTAGGGTTCGACGATATGATTCAAGAAGTATAATTGAGTGAAATAAATTTTTGAAAAAAGAAAAAGATGAAGGTAATATGGATGTTTTGGTTGTGGAGCTTTTATTGTTCTTCTTCTGAACAACAACATCATCAGCACAAACTTCAGATAGAAGAAGGGAAGTATTCGGATTTCTCCACATTTCACCCGTAGCTTCTGTTAGCCTTGATCTTGATTGGTTGATTTTGACTGTAAACTTGTTTACACCTTTATTTTGATTGTACCCCCCTTTTGATCTGTTCTTGATCCTATGTTTGCCCATGATTTTTCTGATTGGTTAATCAATTGGGTCAACGTCGATGTGTTTGTTGAATGCTGATTGATGTGAGTGCCAAGCTTCTAAAAATTCTCTAGTGTTCTTTGTGCTCCCCCTACCCAGTATTTCTACATTGTCTCAATCGAATGTATGTTCATAATTTTCGGTGAGTATTGATATGAGCGACAAATTTCATGGCGTTTGACTGCTAATTGATGTTCACGTAAACGAAGCTGAAGTGGTCGTTCAATCTGAGCAATTTTTTTTGTAGATGATATTTGGTTTTTATTCCTTTGTCATTTTGTCCTTTGGTCTACATAGGATTGATTGAAGTGATTCTGTTGGTTTGTGTGCCACACCTATTCCAAATGGTTTCAGTAGTCGTGCTGTATTCTCCGATATGTCTTTGATGTATGGCAGGATGATGCGTTTATTTGTTTCTGTAATTGATTTCGCTTCTGTTGATGATTTCAGTTGATGTTTTTTGATGAAGTTAGGCGGAAGATTAGAATTTGACAGAACACAAAGAATGAATGCACCTGCGCCGAAAATTAGTATGTTAACGACGAACAAGAAAAAAGCTGGCATTGATTCGCAGTATACAGACACACATTTAATCGATTTCTACTTTTTTAACCGAATTCCTATCAATGTGCGTCATGTCAATAAAGCCGTAAATAATCTCATCAATGTAGTTGGTATGAATTCTTCTGTCAAGTGTTTACAATGTGTAATTCAAGCTGAGATTATAATGAATGACACAGAGAAATAGATTGATTTTTTTTCCTTTCGCAATATACTAAATTAAACCTTTAGTACAAGTTTTAAGATCAGATTCAATTGCTTATAAGGATGCCGTTGTTCATTTTTCACTGAATCAGTAGAATTGATGATTTAACACCTCATTGTTAATGTGACATGACATTTTCCAGATCGATTTTCTTCCAACCTCATTGATTTATGTGAGCGATATAGTTTGAATAAGTTTGCTTCTACTGTCAGTATACACTTTATCAATGATTAGGATTTTGAAGTGCAATGTATGTTGTTGCGTTCACAACATTCAGTTAGTCAGCTACTACGTAGAATTTCGTATGTATATACGTACATACATCAGTTCAAGTTGACATAATACATTAAAGCGCGGAGATCGAATTATCAATTCATATCCTACGGTAGTTGTTGTATGAGCTGTAATCGAAAAAATTAGGGTTTGTGTTGAGGATGTTAAATCCCCAAAACTCGCCTGATAAATGCCTTATTTTGGATTTCACGTTTGCGAGCGTAGGCCGATCAGTTAAACTTGAGGTTTGATTTCCCGCCAGGAAAATCCATGATTGATTGGCTGCTGTGTATTTTCGTGTGCTATTTTCGTAACTGTCCCAAGGACGTTTCTATGATGTATAAATAAACGAGAGTTGTGTGCTTGATTGTATTGTGATTTCTGGGTGTTTGTAGAATATACTTTCTACTCTTACAAAGCCTTCTGACTTCAGCTTGGGATTCAAGTTAGCCTACCTGGACGCTGGTTCATTGTCTCGTTCTCGTTTATCGACTATGGTGAACTCGTAATAGCTTCAAGCTTACCTAGTGACGAACACAATAGTTTGAATATATTATTCGATTGCAAATGATTTTGACCCTTGTCAGTCAAAGTCTCTAACCATCGGTTACTATCATCATCACACCAACCATTGTCAGTGAGAATACGAATAGATGAAAGTCGATTAAATGATAATGATCGACGTCAAGCAGTTGTTCCTTGGGCTTTTTGATTAAGCTCTCACGTCACCAACTCAGCTGCTTTTCCAAGTCCTTCATGAAAATATACATACACGGTATGGACATCAAGGGAGGCCACAATCGCCGTCGTAGCTTCAAGATCTAACTACGTTTTACATATTCGGATCAGTCTGATGATTCATGGGTTAACTTATTTTTGAACGTGATTTGAATTAACTTAGTAACCTCATATGAGCAACACTCTAAATGCAAAGCTGAAAAATACTATTCAGTTGCTGAAATTCACGTATGTGTTTATGTGTTTTCGTGGAAATATTGAATTTATCCTTTTGGTACATTTCATAAAACGGTATAAACACTTCAACTACTTATAAGTAGGTAAAATAGTAAATATGAGATTTATTGCCAATGAGTGATTTGGACTAACAATTAGTGCTTTCTAATTTAATTTATATTTATGAACCATACATAGGTTTAACATTAATGATAGAATCAACTAATTATCAAGAGGTTAGTAGTGTTGCATGAACGTACTTTGCATACAAAGGTCACGGCTTTCTATGTGAACTTCAATGACTTCGGCATTTTGTATAGACCTACACATAAACTGTATGGAATATGAGAAATCGTTCTAGTTAACTTGATCTACGTTTATCAATTTAGAGAGTGTGTAGTTTTTATTTATCTTTTATTTACGTATGAAGAGAGAGGCATTCAACGAAAGGTTTGTTTAATTATGCTTCTCTGGAGCTGTTAGGCTGTTGGAGTTACAGAAGATGCGGTAATTGGACATTACTTATTTGCTTGCGCTTGGTACCCTTTATGGAGAATAGGTTCCCGGCTTACAATCTCCATCCAACTCTCTCTTCTACTCTCCATTCCAGCTGTTTCTAATTTCTATTTATTCTTCTCCTTTCTGTCTCTGATTCTTGATGTAGAGTTTTTTTGGTCTGCCTCTCTTCCTTTAGGCCTAAGAATTCCAAGTTAGGGCTTAACTCTTGGCGCGGTTGGGTCCTACCGCAAATATATGTCTCATTCACTTTACTTATTAAAAAACTTAAGGCTTCGTTGTCCAATATGACATCCTTAGTTCAGTGCTTTATATCAAAAATTAATACAGCCAACTCATTCTATCTCTATAGATTGTGTATCATAGCTATAAATAAAAATGTTGAAACATTTTTGTGTAACATACTTACACGTTTTGACTGACAGACTAATTAATATCTCACCTTTATCACAAATGAATCAAGTCGCTAAAAATTATCTTAATTGTTTGGTTGTTCGATGGTGGTCTAATGGTGCTCTAACAACGATTGGTTCATGATTTCAGTGAGTAAAAACAACGATCTCCATAATACTACAATGCAAAATCAATAAATATGCTCGCTAGTGACTAGCTTTTTGAGGAAATTCTCAGAGTTCTAGTGGGAAGACGTGACCAGTGGAGTTCAATCCTGTCAGGTCTAAGCAATGGATGAGGTTGTGCGAAATCCCTAGATTGATCAGAGTCACATATTAACACCGTTGGGTGCCGGCTCGGTGGTCCAGAGGTTAGGCATTCGCGTACAAGATCGAAGGTCCGGGGTTCGAATCCTGTGAGTGGTAGGAGTCGTGGATGCGCAGTGTTGACTTGTCCCATACTCGGATGAAACGGCCGTTCAGTGATTCCGGGTTTCTAATGGTGGTTGTCTAACAATGATTCGTTCATGATTTCAATGCGTAAAAATCATGAAATAAGCGATCCATGACAAAGCATTTTTACTTCTCGTAGCTGATAATGGTAGACTATCATACTACCAATATGAAGCAATGTATTTGACTTATATAGATCAATCTGTTTAGTCGGTAATATCTTTTTTCTAAAATTAACTTTTATCAGAGATCATTTTTTTAAGATTTAACTGATTACGTTGTTAGCTTCAGTTCATAGTTTTACAATATTCTAGATCGATAAATAACCTCAAAACAATTCAAAGTGCCCTGTATGTTAACATACGGTATGTAGATCCTTTTGGGCACTGTTACTACTCCGTGTGATTTCATTTTGTTACAATTATTAACATCAGT